CGGGAAACTGCGTCGAAGTCCTAAATTCAAATTGAGATGGACCGTCCCGTAAGTTTTTATGGTACTGTTGTTGGCCGCGCTGAGGTCGTAATCGGTGGCATGGCGTCGTTCCCGTAGTAGCCGTTGAGGGTAACAAGATAAGTCGGAACCGGAGTCGACTAAAAATTGGCGTTTTGTTATTTGATCTGTAACAAACAGGCGGCTGCTCGGGTTCGGACAGTCTGTTGCCGCCGCTACTGACTGTCGTTGGAGTTTTCCTGATACTTGCAGGGAGCCTTACATTTGGCAGCCTTTTCTCCATAAGTGCTATGATACCAACACCATCCTTTGCCGTTAGTCAGTTCCACGTTTGAACGGTTACGTGACCTAGAGCGGGAACGTTGCGGGCGTTTAGCACATAATTCGCTTACCTGTTTTGCGAGTGCTTCAATGGCGGCTAAAACATCGAGTTCCTTTTTATTGTTCGTCGTGGCAACAGCATGGACGAATTGCGAGGGGGCTGGCTGCACTTCAACAATTTTGTCAGCCAGCTCGGCTACCTTATCCAGAGGAAGCTCTGATTGTGCGGTTAAAATAGCTTGTGCATGTGATGGTAGACGGCGGAGCCAAAGTTGACGTAAAATATTGTCTTGTAATGTAGTAGTGCCGGCAAGGGAACGGAGATGTCGTAAGAACTGTGATGGCTTACGGTCACCTAGTTCTTCTTCATTGATGAGTTGCCGCACACGTTGTTCTTCTGAGATAGACAACCGTTCAACGAGTTTTGCGCGTAGATGTTTGTAGCGTTCAGTAGGCGGTGGGTTAGTAATAATATCCTCTACTTCGGCGGCGTAACGCGTATCAAGCTGAGCCACAACATAATTAAATTTTGTTTCCTCACTTGTTATTCCCGAGATTGCAAACTGCGAGTCAACCTGTGAGAACCATAAGCTCGGTCTTTCGGACCAGAAAGGTGGCAACTTGACGGCAACGCGATTCACTGAAGCTGTTGGATATTGCTGTGCCTGTAGTGCTGCAAGGCGAGCGTTTTCTTGGCGTAACTCCTCCAATTGATTGCGTAGTTCTTCGGCGTTCATACTTGTTATCGTCGAGGTCACCAATGTAGCGAGGTGTAATATATAGAAGTAATAAACACTTTTACGATTTAATAACAACTATACTATATTACAACGAACTAACAAATAACAAATAACAGCGAGAGACGAACTGTATTACAACGAACTAATAAATAACAGCGAGAAACGAAGCGCGTGTAAGACAGAATGCGTAAGTGATTGACTGATCGACTGACTGACTGGAGCGACGATCTTGCCCTTAAATAGTCAGAGGAATCTTCTAGAGGCGGCGTCGGAACTCTCTAGACATTCGACCGCCACACGCTTATGTAGAGCGACGAATCTTCTAGAGGCGGCGGCGGCCGGACATTCTAGAATATTCGACCGCCACAAAACTATTAAATAGAACATTTTTTTTTATATTTATTAAAATTTTTAATATAATTTAGTATCTGGGTACATCATTTTTTGATGATATAATAATTTTTTATTAAAAAAATGTTTGCTCAAGTTAATAAATTAATCAACTCAAAAAACCATTAAATATGTATATATTTTTCTATATTGATTTACTTTGTTATCGTAGTGCTAATTATGCGGACTATTAAGCTTAGTCGAAAATATAGTACACGTGAAAGCTTTAAGTTATGTGTTATTTATATTTAAAATGAATAAAAATTCAATTTGGAAAATTTAATAATGTAATTTTAATTTTATTTAAATTATACAAATATATTTCCATAATTCAATACATATATGTATTAAAGAATTAGACAAATTTAGGATACACACACACACACACACACATATATATATATATATATATATATATATACAAATAGACAAATAGACAAAAAATAAATAGATACTTTTTATCACGTTACAAGTAGTATTTCCCAAATTATTATCCTTTAATGCTGTGTAATTAGAAGAGCTGTAACCTCTTCTAATGAACAGGAAGTAGCTGATCTCTTTTTCTCGTACTTCTTCTCTACCTACTCATTAGATAAAATAGATTTTCATATCCAACAACTAACATATCCAACAAATTTCTGGCTATGGTTTACCAAGTTCGATCAGTTTTAGCGTCTATGATGTTTACTAGGAACTTTCTTGTTTGAATAGGAATTAGTCTGTTCTGATGAATTATGTGGTGAAATACTCTTTCAATTATGATCCTTTATCGCTTATCCTCTCTGGCTAATCTGTTATAATTCTTTAGATGAAGTCATATAAATCCATCCTTGTTTAAATTAAGTTCTGTTCAACCTATTCTTGACACCACTAATTCTGCTTCTGTGTCAGATTACAAACCTAATTCCATACAGTCTCATATTTCTAAAGTTTTTAAAAGCTTGATCTTAATGAAATTTATTCTTCGTTAAATTATATTATTATAAAGGAACAACATGGTTTTTGTCTTGGGCGCTCGATTCAGGTAAAAAATATTAATAATTTTGTATATTTGTGTGTTATATTATTTTGTCCTGATATTTTAAATGAATTGTTATGAAATAACAATAATGAGTATGCAAATATATTATTCTTAGAACATTGTGTGATATCTGAGATAATAAGAAGGATTTATTCATGTATTATAATTATAAATTATACGACTTGTAACCAGGATACAATTAAGGAAATAAGTGTTAATGTTGTTTTTGGAATAATTCAACAAAATAATTCCTTCTAAAAATTAAAACTTATTTTCAGATTTGCATCGATATTTTTCTATGTTAGTTATTTTAATCACTATTAGATATCATCTCTACTTGACTCTGTTCTGTTGGATTTTTTTTATAATTATCATGAATGTAAAATTGATACTTTTATATAAATTAAAAAAGGCTTACCTTGTTTTCATTCCCCTCTTATTCCTTTTTTGTTTTTACAAATAAACAACCTATCACATTGGTAACTGACAAACATTCTTTGATATTAAAGAGTCACATATTACAGTATCGACTGTTTTGAACTTTTCTGATCGTCCATTATATAAAACCCTCAATACCTTATTACAAATCGGCGTCCAATGACGTTGATATATACACGATGATTCATTTATCATGAACCACTTAATGATCTAACTAATGAAAACTAATGATCCAGATCACACAAATGCGGCTGATTTTATTATCGAAAAACTATAGCACAAGTGTTGGCAAGTGCTTTATAAAAAGTTTAAATTATACAGAACAATATCTGGCGGCTGTCAATCAGTCTACGATTAACATTTCACTATCGCCGTATCGCTTTTATTATATACAATATTTTAATTAAATATAACTAAAATCTCAAAATGAATACAAATAATAAATATTTGTATTCATTTTGAGGTATCAGTTATATTCAATAAACATATTAATTGGAATTAATTAAATGGTTTAAATTTATTAAATATCTCTTTAGTTGATTATTGTCAAACTGCCAACTACCGTCACGGCAAAATGTAACACATTTCTATTTGTTTATTGTACGAAAGTAAATTAAAAATATAACATTGTTTCTATCAATATTAAAAACATAACATAACTAATTTCATCATAGTTATATTGATTGGTGTGTAATTACAGATTAATAAATAAACAATACCGAATAAAGTTACAAACATTTCTTTATTAATAATAAAGTAAGAAAATTGTGCTTAGTTCAATTATTCTCTTTAGAAATAATTTATTATTTTGTATTTTCTAATTATTTTTGAATTATTATTTTGAGAATTGATGTCCCTAACAAACAAACGGGATAATTTCTGAACTCAAGGATGCCAATTAAGTATTAACAATGTCTATTGTTTACATAACTGCTTAGCTATTCTTGATAGAAAATAATGACAGAATATTGAATTCAAAACTAAACATGCATATTTTTATCACTAAAATTATTTTTTTGTCATTTACTACATTTTATACAGTGTAATTATCTAATTAACATTCAACATTCATATGCATACTCGTATATATATATTGTTATTCGTTTATGATAAAAAAAGAATTATATTTTTATTTTTTTCAAATTTTTATATAATCTCTTTTTTATTACTTCTTACAAAAATAACGATAAATTAATTAACTTTCAATAGAATTTTTTCAAACAAGCTTATAAAGAATTATTGTTTAATTATTATTAAAAAATATAATTAGAGTGTAACCCTAGCTATAGTGAGTGTCTGTTAAAAATGATATGTATACATAGTTTGTATCCCGACCTTATATTGTTTTTAATGTATCCTTTACTATGGTAATTTTCAGAAAATTTCGCTCCCGAGATTTTTATTATTATTTAGAGTAATATGTTTATTACCATAATTACACGCTTCTAACTCAATTTTAACACATGCCGGAATAATTTTTCATATAATTATAATAATAATACATATGTTTTACTTAATAATTATATAAAAATAATTTGTAATAATGCGTATAGTTGTTTTCATTGTTACAATGTGTATTGTGTCACACAATTAATTCAATCAATGTCAGGTGTCATCTATATTTGTCAATACTAGCTACGTCTCCACTGTGCTGGATTTTGTTTAATGATATTATAGAATTGATAATTAATGAAAATCGTGTGTTAACATTAAAATTTTTTTTTGGAATTTTGAAATTGTATAATTATAACGCAAAATAACGTTTTCACATCCTGATAGACAATCGTTGGAAAAATTACACAAATATTAAGTAATTTAAAATTTAAATTATTTTTTTACCTAAACAATACCTAAAAGGGATTTATTATTTATTATTGATAAACAAAATTAATATTTTACTTTTTATTTATTCATGAAAATTATTTTGATACACATTAAAGTGTCCACATGAGTGTTATTTGTGTTGCTTAGATATCCTTGTATATATATGCATTATTAAGGAAGAACGCGATATCACTATTAAAAACTCGAGCACTACTTTTAAAACATTACGGGTTCGTTTTTTTAGAACTATCTATCATATTATTACATTTAGATAGTTTATAATAATCTGTAAATTAATTGAAAATTAGGGAAGAAGTGTCCTGTTTTTAACTTGGATGCGAAGCTGTGAAGGTATTAATTTACTATGATATGTTTATTTTTATTTTATAATATTATTATATTATTATTTATATTTGCTTTCACTGAACCGATTAATGAACAACACGTTAGAAGATCACAAATCGTATCAGATCGTAGACATTAACCTCTATAAATTAAAAAATTTTCCTCATACCTCGTAAAAGGGAAAAATCCCACTATGAAATATAATTTGTAATTGTAGACATTTTAAAAACTATTTTATATTTAAAACTACCATAACATTTTATAAAACGAAAAAATCAAATTTTTTTTTTATAGATGCCTTAAGTATTTTCATATCATTTGTTATATTTTTTTTACAAAAATTAACTTTTGAAAATGTTCCGAAATTATGAACTTTTATAACAAAATAAAAAGGGTTGGATTGGAAAAACAAATTTCATAGTACCGAAACTCATGGCTGCGTTAGATCGGTGTAAAATAAGTGCATAAGACGCAGTTTATATTATTTATGCAACAGTTGAAGTTTTAAGTTATAACGTCACTTCTCTTATTATAAATATGTCTTCAGTACATAGATGCTGTAATGCTATGTGGATTGAACGGGCTAATTTAATAAAAAAAAATGTCTAAGTTGTCCTTTTACATATGTTACTCTGCATTGGAATGAAAAGATTTTACCAACTTTAAATGTAAAAGACGCGGGCATTAGTAGGTTACCAATTTTTATAACCAGTAAAAATCTAGATTTATTAATTGGTATACCGAAACTGAAAAAGTCGACGGGATATGAACAAGCGAATGCTGATTATTATGCGTTAGACGATTGTAGCTTATTAAATATAGTCAAATCTCTATGCTGCAATACTACCCCATCTAATATAGGCCGTTTTAAAAAAAGTGGGTGTTCTTTTTTTGCTCTTAACATAATGATATTCCCACGTTTAAAAACTTTAAAACATTGGTGTAACATTGATATTTCTAATACAGTCTGTGGAATAGATGAATCGAATGTTACTCTGCACTTGAACATTTTCGAAATTATATTCTCTAGTTTTCTCGGAAAATTTTATGAATTGGATATTTTATAGCCAATTATATAGAAGTTATCAATAATTTTTTTAAATGGTGACTCAGATAAAAAAATATAAATAAATCCACCTGGAACCATACGCCAAGCTCAATAGATAAGTAGAGTATATTGCTTACATTTATTAAAAAAAATATAATACAATAATTTTTGATATCTATCTCCTCATGAATGATTGATTTTTTTCTTTTAAAAAAAACTGTAGCTTCTGTTGGGCAAAAAGCAGTAAGTAATTTTTTTAACGATTCCATATCAATACTGATGATTTTTATTTACACGTAAAAAAGATTGTATGCTCACTTAGAGTACTAAATGACTCGACAGAGAGGCATAATGGAAGATTTTCATGAAAGTTAAACAGTAAACAATTAAAAAGCTGAGTTACTTTTACGATGTGTCCAAGAGCATTGATAATTATATCCTAATTGCAAAAAAGAAATATTAAAATATAAGATTTAATAAATATTTTTATACGCTTTTCATCTGTTTTGCTGAAACATTAAGGTTTTTCATTTCTTATAAATTATAATTATATCATCTGATAAATAAGGTATACTTTGCGTAGAGTATGAAGTAGATGGCCCTGCAACTAAATATTTACTAAGTCTTTCTGTTTTCCTAATTTACGCTTTTTAGATTTGTCTTATTTCTCTTGGAAAAGATATTTTTACGTACAATAAAGTAAAAACACAATAGGAAGCAGTTCAACCTAATACGAAATTAAAGTGGTAAGAATATCAGTTCACTATACCTATTGCGATTCGAAATAAATTTACGATTTTCAGTTATTTATAATATAAAAATAATAACAATACGTTAATTCTATACGATAGAATTATCGCCAAACTTGCACGATGAACGTTATAATGTAAAAGATGATAACTAACTGTATCAATAAAGCTCATATATTTAGTAACACATCGTAACATGATCGAGCTATAGCAATAAAACGTTCGTTTCAATGAAATTTTTACTAATTACTTTATTTTGAACAATTTTTATATGAAATATTAGGTTGTATCACATATGGTTCGTCAGATATGATTAATTATATTCGTAAATATGTAGACAATTTTACGAAATATTACGTATTTTGATACTTTTCTGGAAAACTAATGGATTTAGAAGAAAAACTGTAAGCATTTAATTTATACAAAACAATTATATCTATTATTTATTTTTTATAATTTTTTTTGTGAGAACGCTAATTTACTAATTAATTGCTAAAAACTAAAACACAACATTTTTTGGCCAATTATCAACCTCAAGTCGGCACAGGATAAAGTTTATCCTGTGATAAGTTATCTGATCGACCTGAAATTTTTTGTAATCGCTTTTTAAAGGTATATACACAAATTTGGGAGGTGAGAATTTCAAAAATTGTAAAAATAAGGTCCACCCTAATAGATATTAATACTTATTGACCTTACTAAAAACCTTTCATACAAACCTTATGGTAGTTACTTGAAATTATGAAACTAAAAAATCCAAACAAAAAGTTAAAAAATCTACTCAATTGAGCGTATTATAAAAATTGATTTTTAATTGGAAAAACCACTGTTAAATTATGGTAAACCGTAAATTAATTTTTAAAGACTATTTATGGTATATTATAAACTGTTAATATTTATCTGTGTAGTTGAAACCTATTATCATAGTAAACCGAATTTTAAAATAAATAATTTATAACATTAGAAATGAATAATTAGAATTGTCTACATGGAGAATGTTGGCTAAGAAACATTTAATTGGTAAAGGGGAATTTTTTTCAATTTTTGTGAGTAATACCTTCATTTAGACATCAGTTGTATTAATTTAACGTATTGTTGAAAAAATTAGATGAAGTGAGAGCTGAAAAAAAAATACAGTAACAAAAAAACCATATAGTAAAATAATATTAATAAGTATAAGAAATTCATTTTCACAAGGGGGGGGGCACAGTGATGGTCTCCTTAATATTCATTAAAATTATATGAATTCAATATAAATGAGATAAATATCAAACTAATTTTGAATTTTTTTTTTATGTCCAAGTAGAATTAAGAAAAAAGTGCAAAGTTAGTCATTGCGGAGTACGAAACTAGTATTCATATCCTGAAAAATATTTAAGTAACTGACTGGGTGATATTATATTATACATTATATTTATAGGTAGAAAAAAACACACTATTTAAGTTAGTTAAAATTTTAAAATCGTCTTTTTTGACTTAAAAGAAATGAAAATTTGAAGGGTAAGCCCGAAGAATTTAAAGAATTAAAAAAATTTGCACATCCTATATATTTATTTATATTTAGAGAGCGGATTTATAAATTTATTTTTGATTAACTTTAGGGGAATCCAAGTTTGTGCAACTTTTTCATAAAATTTTATTTTAGAGTAGAAATATTTTTTGTTTAGGGAGGAATAATTATACCACTACACTATATTACTAGAGTAGTGGTTTGAAGCCTGCTAATAAAACTACATAGTTTTATATTTTATCAGCCAGTATATAGTGGCTGATGATGTATTTGAAATAACTTAACAAAATTTATAAATGCATATAATTCTGCTATATAAAACAATTATTTTTATGTAATAATTAGTGTTTTATATATATTTAAATGAGTTAGTTTTGTTGTATTTAGGACTAGATACCAAAATTATTTTGTTTTTTTTTTTGTAGTTTTTATCATATCTAGTAAGTTATTTGACTTATAACGTACTTTTAAAGTATTTTGATATCGCATTTAAAACTTTAACTGTCTTAAAATTTGACTTTATTAAGTTTAAAAATTAGTATTAACCAATATGTCTTTTTTTCTTAATTTTGGTTTTTAAAACTTTTTTACAGTCACATGTTAAGTTCAATTAAGTTTAAAAGATGGTTTTGTAATATTTTTGGTGTCTGTAATCATGTTTTAACTCGTACTAAAAATAAGTTCGATATAGATATACTAATTTACTAGATGTGGCGGCCGAATGTTCTAGAACGTTCGACCACCGCCGCCTCTAGAAGATTCTTTGGCGGTCGATTGTTCTGGAACATTCTACCGCCTATATAAGAAGTGGGACCGTTGCTCCTAGTTATCAATCATCAAACCACAGTGTCCAGTGATCAGTCATCAGTTATCATTTTCATAAATTGTTCATTTTGTTCGTTGTTCATTGTTTATAGTTAATCAGTTTAAATTATTATTTGTTATACTGTAAATTTACTGTTGTAATAAATAATATTTCCCACAATTGGTGACCTCGACGTGATCTGAAGAAACGCTCAACACCCGGATTCTGAAGCCACTATCAAAATGGAAAACGTCAACACCAACGCCGTCGCCAACGCCAACGTGAACGCAATAGGTGTCCGCATCCCGCCATTCAACCCAGAGGACCCTACATTGTGGTTTGCCGTCGTGGAGCGAAGCTTCGGGGTATCCAAGATCGTCCAAGAGGATACCAAATTCGGCTACATCATCGGTGCACTCGACCAAAAATACCAAACCGAGGTCCGCGACATCATTCTCAACCCGCCAGCAGCCGAGCCTTACACACATCTGAAAAAAGAGCTGATCAAACGGCTGAGCACCTCTCAGGAACGGAAAACACTACAGCTGTTGGAGAAGGAAACTCTGGGCGATCGCAAGCCCTCACAATTTTTAAGGTATTTAAGTGACCTTGCAGGTACATCTGTTCCGGACTCGATGCTGAAGACCATCTGGATCAGCCGACTTCCACAAGCGATGCAGGTGGCCCTGGCTGCTCAGAGGGACGCCGAGCTAGAAAAATTGTCGGAGCTGGCCGATGTGATAGCTGACGCGACTCTCCCTCATCCGCAAATCGCTGAGGCCGTCAGCTTAGCCAGCATTAACGCACAAATCGACGCGTTGCTCAACGTTAAAATGGCCCAGCTGACGTTCACTCTGCGGGAAGAAATATCAGCACTCGCCCAACGCAACACTCCTCGCAGAGGTCGGAACCGATCCTTTCATCGCGGCCAGTCACGCTCACGCTCGTCATCCCGTTCCCACTCTTCACGTCAATCCGAGAAGGAATACTGCTGGTACCATCACACATATGGAAGGGAAGCGAAGAAATGCAGCCAACCTTGCCAATTCAACCAGGGAAACGAGAAGGGCAGTCATTAAACGCGGCAACAGATGACAAGAGCCCGAAAACAAGCCGCCTCTTCATAACCGACACCAACTCCCAACTCCGATTCTTGATCGACACAGGTGCTGACGTATGTGTTTTTCCTCGCTCACGCACTGCAACTCGCACCCTTCGATCTTCATACACACTCAGCGCTGCAAACGGCTCAGACATCGCCACCTACGGAGGAATCAACCTAACCTTGAACCTCGGTCTACGGCGAGAATTTCCCTGGCGCTTCATCATCGCAGATGTGTCGAAACCTATACTCGGGGCGGACTTTCTACAACATTATGGACTCCTTGTTGACCTGCGACACCGGCGCCTTGTCGACCCAAACACCACGATTTCCTCACCAGGCACGCCTGCGGCTGAATGTGAGGTGCCACAAATCAAGGTGCTCAACGGCGAGTCGCGTTACCACCAGTTACTAAAAAAATACCCTGGTCTGACGCGACCTAGCGGCCTGCCAACCGAGGTGAAGCACAACACGGTCCATCACATTCGCACCACTCCAGGGCAGCCTGTTTCATGCAAACCCAGGCGACTTGCACCAAATAAGTACGCCATCGCCAAGAAGGAGTTCGAGACCATGGTGAAGATGGGTGTTGCTCGACCTTCCGACAGCAGCTGGTCCTCGGCGCTTCACCTAGCGCACAAAAGGGACGACGAATGGCGACCCTGTGGCGACTACAGGTCTTTGAACGCACGGACCATTCCAGACCGGTATCCAATTCCGCACATCGAAGATTTCTCCCAACGGCTCGCGCGGAAGAAGATCTTTTCGAAAATTGATCTGGTACGCGCCTACCATCAGATCCCTGTGGCAGCCGACGACATCAAGAAAACTGCCATTACAACACCATTCGGCCTTTTCGAATTTCCACTGATGAGTTTTGGACTTCGAAACGCAGCCCAAACCTTCCAGCGTTTTCTCGACGAAGTTCTGAGGGATCTTGACTTCGTATACGTCTACATAGACGACATCATGATAGCCTCCGAGACGGAAGAAGAACACGAAGAACATCTCCGCCTAGTCTTCGAGCGACTCGAAAAATACGGCCTCGTGATAAACGTCACTAAAAGCGTTTTCGGGGTAGACGAGATCGAGTTTCTAGGTTACACCGTCAACTCCACGGGTGTCAAACCGCCAGTATCGAAAGTCCAGGACATCAGCAACTACAAGCAGCCACAAACCGTCAAGTCCCTACGTAGGTTCCTAGGCATGATTAATTTCTACAGGCGATTTCTTTCCAATGCTGCCGATCTCCAAGCACCTCTGCACACCTACTTGCAAGGGAAAGACGCCAAAGGACAGAAACCGATTCCATGGACTCCTGACGGCATCCAAGCCTTCGAAAACTGCAAGAAAGCTCTGGCTACCGCGACTCTCCTGTCGCATCCGGATCCAAAACTACCCTTGGGACTCTTCACCGACGCATCGGATCTCACAATTGGCGCAGTTCTACAACAACTCACCGACCAAGGATGGCAACCACTAGCATTCTTCTCACGCAAGTTACAACCAGCCCAAACCAAGTACAGCGCTTTTGACAGAGAACTTCTCGCCATCTACCAGTCGATTCGTCAATTTCGGCATCATCTCGAAGGTCGAAGTTTCACGGTTTTCACAGACCAGAAACCTTTGACTTTTGCCTTCCGCCAGAAACCTGAAAAATGTTCACCACGTCAATTCCGTTACTTGGATTTCATTGGCCAGTTCACCACAGACATCCGCCATATTTCTGGAAAAGACAACGTCGTCGCTGATGCAATGTCCCGGATAGACGCTGTTTCAGAGGGTATCAACTTCGACGATCTTGCTCAGGCCCAGCAAAACGACGAAGAACTCCATCGTCTCCTGAAATCCAACTCACCCTTGAAGTTGAAACAAATATGTATCCCTGGAACATCAAAAATGCTTTTCTGCGATTTGTCCACAGATAAAGCACGCCCGTTTGTCACTCACTCCTTCCGCAAGCAGGTATTTAAATCCCTGCACGGATTATCACATCCTGGGTCACGTGCAACAGTCAAACTCATCGCTGAAAGATTCGTCTGGCCTTCAATCAATAAGGACGTTAGAACTTGGACCCGAGAATGTATCCCTTGCCAACGAAGCAAAGTGCACAGGCATGTCCACGCACCACTTGGCGAATTCCAACTCGCAAGTTCCCGCTTTGAACACATCAACGTCGATATCGTCGGTCCACTTCCCTTCAACCAAGGCTACCGCTACCTAATGACCTGCATCGATCGTTTCTCCAGATGGCCAGAAGCCTACCCTTTAGAAGACATCACGGCAGACACCGTTTCGAAGGTCATCTTCAGGGAGTGGATTTCACGATTTGGTGTCCCAGAACGGTTAACAACCGACCAAGGCCGACAGTTTGATGGTGAGCTTTATAATGCGCTCCTTAAGCTTATCGGTTCAAAACACATAAGAACGACCGCTCGACACCCTCAATCCAATGGCATCATCGAACGCTTCCATCGGCAACTCAAATCAGCCCTACGCTGCCACGAAAGCGTAGACTGGGTCGAACGTGTACCCATCGTCCTAATGGGCATCCGAGCTGCATGGAAAGAAGACCTTCAGGCAACCTCAGCAGAGCTGGTTTTCGGAGAATCCATACGTCTGCCAGGAGAGTTCGTGAACCCGAAACAAACGACAGGAGACTCCGACCCAGCTGTCTACGTCAACCGCCTTCGCCGACACTTCAACGAGCTGAAGCCTCAACCAACTTCATGGCATGGAGATAAGCCAACTTTCATTTTTAAAGATTTGGCCTCATCATCCCACGTTCTGGCCTACCGCAATGCACCTAAAGGTCCGCTGGAGAACCCCTACGAAGGTCCATTCCCAGTCATATCACGGCACCCTCGCTATTACGTCATCAAAATACGTAACCGAGAAGTAGCTGTATCGTTTGATCGACTGAAACCAGCATACGTGACCAGGGACAGCCCCGATGACCTACAAGGGCACGAAGATCGACCACAAGACCAGCAACCAGAAAACCAGCAACCAGCCGACGACTCATTTCCAGAGGACAGTCACTCCGACAACAACCGTACAACACGTTCAGGAAGAAGAGTGCGCTTCACACAGTTTTATCAAGCGGGATAGAAACAGTTTACTCATTGAATCGTAATTTCATTACTGGAAGGGGGGTGATGTGGCGGCCGAATGTTCTAGAACGTTCGACCGCCGCCGCCTCTAGAAGATTCTTCGGCGGTCGATTGTTCTGGAACATTCTACCGCCTATATAAGAAGTGGGACCGTTGCTCCTAGTTATCAATCATCAAACCAAAGTGTCCAGTGATCAGTCATCAGTTATCATTTTCATAAATTGTTCATTTTGTTCGTTGTTCATTGTTTATAGTTAATCAGTTTAAATTATTATTTGTTATACTGTAAATTTACTGTTGTAATAAATAATATTTCCCACATAGATATAAGAATAAACACATCTACAGCCAAAGTTAAACAATAAAGTTAATATACTAGAATGCAAACATATATTATTATAGTAAAGTATAATTGATTTTACATGTCTTTATGTAATTTTTTTTTATTGCTTTTCAGCTATTTAAAAAATTTAGTGAACATGCCTTATATTGATCGGAGTAGTGTTATTCACTTGAAAATAATGAAAAAAATAGGATTATACCAATACTTGAATCCTAACAGCTACACGATATTTGGATATCCTTTGTTACAATTTTTTGCTTTGATTGAAATTGCTGTTATTATTTTCGTATTAATAATGAGTATATGGTCTTTATTGAATTGTGTGAATGATTTATCAGCAACAGTTAAATTTAGTATGTGTTGTTTTGGTACTTTAAATATTGGTGTTAAAATGTATTACATGTATGGTATGTCTGATAAAGTAAATGCATGTATGCAATTTACTTGTATCAATTACATGAAGTTTAAAGGTCATAAAAAAAATTTATTAATAAAAGGCAGAAGAAAAATAGAATATATCATAAATATCATTGCTTTGTATTGGAGTATCGCCGTGTTTTTTTGGATTCTATCTCCAGTATTATTTACAAAACGAACAGTCATAATAAACCTCAATGGTCAATTACAAAGTTACAAATACAACATATTTAATTTAATATTTTTAAAATCGGATAAATTATACAACAAGTATTATGACATTTTTTGGTTGATTGAATCATTTATGATGGTTGTGTGGTGTCATGTGACAATTATGCACGGAGTTATTTTTGCATCAACGTGTGTAACAATCAACTATCAATTAAAGACCATTACTTTTTCATATTCACAATTGGGAAATATCAATAAAAAGAATAAAAGTAAAAATTCTATATTACTATATAAATTGTAGAAAAAATACATAATAAATATTTTATATATAATGACTAACTGATATAAGAATTAAGATGTGGATGTTTTTTAGATATTGAAAATGGTTTTGATAAAGCAAATATTAATACATTAATAGAAGAGGAAGCAATAAATAACCATAAGCTTATAATTAAGGATCAGACCCGAATTTTAAGGTAAGTACAGACACGTGGTGAGTTCATTTTTTTGGGCGTAGAGGTAACCTAATTCATTCAGTCGACTAACTTATTTTTAAAAATTCTTTTTGACAAACCTAATAATTAAAAAGTCAATTATATACCAACATAGATAAGTTAAGTTAGGTGGTTTCTCATTGTGCCAGATTTGAGGAGACAATTCGGTTATCTAGTTAGAGGGGATATCAATTTTAATATTATACGGTGTACTATTTATATTGAAGGGTATACGCTAACAAATCAGCGTATACCTTAAAATAAAAAAAAAACGGTAGCACAGTGGGGTCGAGGCACAGTGGGACGAGGCATAGATAGGACAAGTATAGATGATATCTGACAGTGATTAAAATCACTATCATAAGAAACGCTTCGATGCAAATCTGTAGATAGTGTTTCATTTAGAGAAATTGGTGGATTATTCCAAAAGGAATATCAACTCTTATTTCTTTAATTATATCCTGATTAGCAGTTCTTTGATTTTAAAATATAATATATGAATAAATACTAATTATAGTTTTTAAATTCAGTATGAAATTGTGAGGCCAGCTATGATGTATGGTTCATAGTGTTGGGCGGTTGATAAGAAAGTAGAGCAGAGAATAAGTGTAGCAGAGATGAGAATGCTTAGTTGGATGAGTGGAGTGACTAGAGAAGATAGGATAAGGAACGAGCATATAAGAGGAAGTATAGGTGTTGCGTCAATCGTGGATAAGATGACAGAAAATAGACTTAGATTGTTTAGTCATGGTATGAGGAAAGAAGAATCGAAAGCTGTAAGAACAGTTATAGAAATGAATGTTGAAGGAAGAAGAGATAGAGGAAGACCAAAAAAGAGATGGAGGGATGCTATTGAATGCGATTTGAGGACAGCTGATGTGAGCGTAGAAGATGTGGGAGATCGTGTCAAGTGGAATCTTAGGATAAGGGTGCCCGACCCCAAGTAGTTGGGATTAAGGCAAAGAAAAAGAAAAATATTACCAGATATTCCGGTGGCAATTGACATAATATGATTGTTATTTCGGAATGTACAATTTAGCGTTTAGTTGGGTTTAAATAATATAGCGTCAAATCAATTACCTACTCTATCGGTTGTATCTCAATATACACTACACTTTAATGATACAATAAATAAATAAACTCACACATACACACATATGCATTTATAACATTGTGTCTAATGTAAGTATAACATGATAAAAAGTAACCGTAAAATGAAAAAAATGGAATATAAATTTTATTACTCATATTAAATGTAATGTAACTCGAAAAATATTTGTTTAAATGAAAAAATATAAGATTATATTTTTATTTATAATTGTCTTTTAAACAACTTTTGTGCGAAACTTTTTTTTGTAAGTTAAATATTTTTTTTTGAGAAAATTAAGAAAGCTCATATTTTTGAACTTTTGCGAGGATTTAAAAAAAAAGCTCAATTCCAATCTTGAGGACTATTAGTATGTCATTATACATATTTTAATTCAACTTTTAAAAAAACAAAATTTTTTCCGCAATTTTTCCTTTGTTGACTGGCCTAGATGTCAATTTTAAACTTGTAATTGAGCTAAAAGTTATGGTAATATATTCAATTTATTTTACTATAAACTTTCATAAATCTTTATCAAAAATTTTTCATCAACTTTAAAGAACCAAAAAAATAGGTTAAAATTGAAAATTTGGACTGATTATTTTTAACATATTAAAAATCAAATCAGTAATAATTTGAAAACAAATTTTTTTTTCTTTTAATTATTATTTTATATATATAATTAGTAATAATATAAAAAATTAGAAGTGATAGAAATAGTCTACTTGCAGATTTGAAAACAACGCGAAAAGTTGATTTAGAAAAGTATATTTTTGCTTCTGATGAAAGTTCCTTGTAGTCCAGTGCATTTTTTTATAGTAACAAACAGTTTTTATTGAAAATTATTGTATCAAGCCCTTTAAATTTTTATACACGTAAAAGTAAAGCAAAATATAACTTCTTTATTATTTTTATAATTTCTCCGTTTAAATTACAATATTAAATATCAATTTCATACTAAATTTAATAATTATAATTAGTATATATTCAAATATTATATTTTAAAATCAAAGAACTACTAATCATGATATAATTAAAGAAATAAGAGTTGATGTTGCTTTTGGAATAATCCACCAATTGCCTAATTAAAACAAAAAAAAAAAAAGTTTGTTGGGAATTTTTTCTGCTATTCTGCAAAATTACTCCTTCGTTGACTAGAATGAATCATTAAATAGAAAATTTTATGAGAATTAAAACAATGTTATTTTTAAGATTAATATGCAGTCAGAAAGTTTTATAATTATTATTTATTGTAAATTTATCAGAAAAACTCATTATTTTTTGCATTTTTATCGTAATAGAACACTTAAATAGAAATCATAGTAATCATTTCTAAGTAATTTTTGATATTTAAAAAGATTCTACTATTGAAATATCCAGAACTGAATTAATTTTAATGATTTACTTTAACTAAAAAAAAAAAAGTTAATATTTTGAATCCCTCTTGTGGGCAGGTAAAGGGTTAGATTTATAAAAAAAACCAAATGATAGATAAAGACATGCATCTAAATAAAAAAAAATATACTGATTTGGTCATTTTTGATAAAGTTATAACAATTAACAAAGTTATAAGTTTTATACACTGGACTACAAGGAACTTCCATCAGAAACAAAAATATACTATTCTAAATCAACTTTTCGCGATGTTTTAAAATGTGCAATTAGACTTTTTCTATAACTTCTAAGTTTTAATATTATTAAAAAATAGTTTTTACATATAAAAAAAAATAATTAAGAACAAAAAAAATTGTTTTAAATTAATACTGATTTGATATAATATTTAATATTAATTTGATTATTAATAAGTTAAAAATAAGGAAAATGACATATTTAACCAATTTTGTTAATCGTTTAAAGTTGATTGTTGTAAATGTTTATAATAAAAAAAAAAAATTTATTTTACCATAACTTTTAGCTCAATTGGTAAGTTTGACATTGACATAATTAAATAGAAAATTTTATGACAATTAAAAAAATTGTATCGTTAAGATCAATATGCAGTCAGAAAGTTTTATAATTACTATTTATTGTAAATTTATCAGAAAAGCTCAATATTTTTTTGCATTTTTATGGTAATAGATAACTTAAATAGAAGTAATAGTAATAATTTCCTAGGAACTTTTGTTGTTTGTTGAAAAGATTCTATAATTGAAATATTGAGAACTTAATTAATTTTAATGATTTACTTTAACTAAATGTACCAATCAAAACAAAGTTGTTAAAAAGATTTACTCAATTGAGTTTATTATAAAATTTGATTATATTTGTAAAAATCAATTGTTAATTCAGGAGAAAAAACAATCATTTTTTTTAGAAATGATTTATATAGCAACACGTTAGAAAAAAATTTGAATATTATAGTCTAATAGTAGCACACACAAACAGAGTAATAAAATTATTAAATTACAAAGTAAAATGATTTAATTTTGTAGTTGAAACCTATCATATCAAACTTCATTCGTTAATAAATATTTTGAAAACATTAGAAATTAATGATTTTAATTGTCTTTATGGAGACGATGTAATAACTAACTGTTTAATTGATAAATTAGAATTTTTTTTTCAATTTTTGAGAGTAATATCTTCAACTAGATACGAATTGTAGTAATTTGACGTATTGTTGAAAAAAGTAGGTCAAGTTAGAGCAGAGAAAATAAATGATAGTCACAAAAAAATATCTTCTCGGCTTTGCATCGAAGCGAAAACTTAAAATATAGTAAAATAATTTTAATACGAATAAGAAATTTCTTCTTGCAAGGGGCGACTAAAGTGATGGGATCCTTGATCTTTATTGAAGTTATTGAATCTAAATGTGATAAAAATCAAACGAGTTTAAAATTTATACTAACTTAAAAAGAATTAAGAAAAAATGCAAAAAATTCATTGCCATACGCGGGTTGGAACCTCGTACCCCAAGCGTGTAAAACATAAATTTTACCAACTCGGCAACCGTACGTCGCTACCGTCGGGTGAAAAAATAGGCTATTTAAGCTAGTTCAAATTTCAAAGTTATTTTTCTCGACTTAAAAGAAGCAAACAAATTTAAATAAGTTTAACTTTCTATGCTATATTAATTTTTTATTTATATAATATTTATGAAAATCTGTAGTCCCCTTGTCAGGTATTTTAAAATAAAATAAAATACAAAACCCAGAATTTTAACACAAAAATAGCAAATTTTTGAATACGGTAGTCATTTTTACCGTGAAGACAAATCCAGAGGTCACATTTTTTTTTTTAAATTAAAGTATATTATATAAGCTTTAATTTAAGATATATATAAAAGTGTCAGTATTTCCGGAATACTTTCAAAAATTAAATTGAAAATATCATAGTAACAATACGCATGATTAAAGTTTTGACCCCCCTTGTTAAAGGGGTATGATCCGATTTACAAAAAAAGCGTGTAGATGAAAGGAGTATATAAATATTTATTATAAAAAAATAATAATATTGATCCATACATTTTTCCAAAAGTTATATAAAATATAAATTAAATAATATAACATATAAAATCGAGATTTTTTTCACGGAAATCGTACGTTTTTCTTTAACTTTGATGTCCGTTTTCACCACGAAGACAAGTCCAGAGGTCAAATTTTTTTTTTTCAAATTAAAGTATATTATATAAGCTTTAATTTAAGATATATATAAAAGTGTCAGTATTTCCGGAATACTTTCAAAAATTAAATTGAAAATATCATAGTAACAATACGCATGATTAAAGTTTTGACCCCCCTTGTTAAAGGGGTATGATCCGATTTACAAAAAAAGCGTGTAGATGAAAGGAGTATATAAATATTTATTATAAAAAAATAATAATATTGATCCATACATTTTTCCAAAAGTTATATAAAATATAAATTAAATAATATAACATATAAAATCGAGATTTTTTTCACGGAAATCGTACGTTTTTCTTTAACTTTGATGTCCGTTTTCACCACGAAGACAAGTCCAGAGGTCAAATTTTTTTTTTTCAAATTAAAGTATATTACATAAGCTTTAATTTAAGATATATATAAAAGTGTCAGTCTTTCCGGAACATTTTCAAAAGTTAAGTTGAAAAAGTTCTACTTTCTATACGCATTTTAAAAGGTTTGCACCCCCCCTGTATAAAGGGAAATGGTCCGATTTTAAAAAAAAGTATGTCGAATGAAAGAAGTATATATAAAGTATTTATCATTAAAGAATAAAGTTGATTCATGCATTTTTTAAAAAGTTATAGCAACATAATGTTAAAAAATGTAAAATATAATATCAAGAATTTTTTCACAAAAATAGCATATTTTTGCATACGGTAGTCATTTTCACCATGAAGACAAGTCCAGAGGTCAAATTTTTTTTTTTCAAATTAAAGTATATTACATTAGCTTTAATTTAAGGTATATATAAAATTGTCAGTCTTTCCGGAACATTTTCAAAAGTTAAGTTGAAAAAGTTAATTTTTTGTAAAAAAGTTACCATTTTGAAACCCCATCCTTTGGGCTGTTAAAGGGTCAAATGTTCACAAAAATATATAAAATGATAGGTAATTATCTAAGGTATCTATAAAAAAAAAAATTATATTGATTCGGTCATTTTTAAAAAAGTTATGGCAATTTTAAGTAAAAAAAATTGAAAAAATATCGAAAATTAGCGATTTTTAAATTTGTAATTTTTTGGGGGATTTCCCCCGTTTACGGGGAACGAGGGAATTTTTTTCAATTTTTGAGGGTAATGTCTTCGACTAGATACGATTTGTGATCTTTTGACATATTGTTCATCAAAATCGGTCCAGCGAGAGCTGAGATTGAGCGTTCACAGACACAAAAAAAAAAAAAAAATAAAAAAATAAAAAAACACATCATAGTAAAAAAAATACCTTCTCAGCTTCGCATCGAAGCTAAAAAGATTTTTTGCGAAAACACCACTGATTACTTCAAACTTTATTAATTTTTATTTCATATTATAGGTTCATTCGTGAAGCGTATGCAATTTTTCGACCCATAGCTTTCACACAACTGTGTTTAGATTCGTCATTATTTATATCTATAATATTCATTGTTATAGTGGTAAATTTTAAATATTTAAAAAAAAATTTTATTTAATTATTTGCTTGAATAAACGTTAATACAATCAAATTTCTAATAGAATGTTGCAAAAGGTCAATCAATTCTGACTTTCGAAAATACTTTATTTACTATTTCTGCATTGGCAATCTTGATAAATTTATTAGTTGCTTGCATTTTGTTGCAAATGATAAGTGATGAAGTAAGTTTTTTTTTCAAAATTTCTTTAATTAATGTTATTTAGTAAAACTAGAAGGAAATATTATTGTGGGATTGGTTTTCCTTAGAAAGATGGAATAAATTTTGCTTTATACAGTTGTAATTGGACATCAATGAACATGAAGTTTAAAAAAATTTTACTACTCAGTATGTGCGTAAATAATGCAGAAAAAACTAGAATAAATATTACACACCAAAAAAGCATGAATGTTGAGCTTTTTGGAGGAGTAAGTAATAAAATATTACATTTAAAAAAAATTATTTATGTGATATGATAAAATTTTTGTAATGATTTTAGGTACTTCAAAGAACTTATACTATTTTATCTGTTTTAATAAAATGGGTATTTTAACGTCAAAGGATTTTTTTTTTTGTCAACAGTAGAGCAGTAAATGCTTCAAATTGAAAAATATTAATATTTTCTGTTTATAAATTTAATATAACTAGTTTTTCAACGCTATTATATTTTTATGAAATAACTGAATATTTGCGATGGGGAATCTTTATATTTAAAATAAAGATTTGTTAATATTAAAATTCATAATTTTATGCGCCAAGCACACATTTAAAAATTATTATTTTTTAAGAATATAGTTCTTAATTTCAATTTAGTATAAAATTCTGTGGCTTTATTCAATAGGTTGGTACGAGTATTATACAGATAGTAAAGTTATATGGCTTTCATAAGCCACAAGATGATTTTGCAAGATTGATATACTTATTAAAATAAGAATGTATTTGCAAATTATTATTATGTTAACTACCGCTGAAAAAAATTTGAGTTATACCCGCCAAATTTATCCAGAATTCAGTTATACGTTTCTTGACTGCTACATACAATTATTGTTTCCTCAAAACTAACTTTTACTAATTGGAAATACGTACCCTTGATCTACCATTTTTTAGTTTTAAGAGAAAAATTTTTTAGTTGTCAATCTTATTACTTTAACTAGAAACTATAACTATTTTATGTATTCTGCAATTTTTAAAAAAGGTACCTGGGTACCTTTTTAGCTTTTAAATTTATTTTGCTTCCAAATATTTAGAATGCATGGTTAGTCATTCCGTGACATTTTTAAATAGTATGTATAGTTAACAAATTTATATTTTCTATTTGGAAAATATATAATTTATTGTACTTAAAATAACGTTGCTAATTTTACATCTTGACACGACTTACATCGCAAAAATGTGGTCGACACTGGTTTTGAGGATAGAGACCCGTGGGCCGTTTATTAATAAGCAACAACAGGTTATTTTAACAAAAAAATAAAATAAACCGAAAAGATGAACACAATAATAATAGTTTTCGCGTAATATCGCGGCACTTTCGCTGGCGTCGACGACTCGATGGCCGGCGTGATCCTCGGGCGACAAAAGGTTAGCAGTGTTGTAGGCGACGGTGCGCGGATCGGTTTGTTGACATTGTCTCTTTCACAACGGGAAGAAGATTCAACGTATCATTTGCGGCGGGTCGTCGTCGGCCGTGCGGCACTTGCTGGAGTTTTTACCGTAGCGTATGACACGCGGCTTNTTGCGGCGGGTCGTCGTCGGCCGTGCGGCACTTGCTGGAGTTTTTACCGTAGCGTATGACACGCGGCTTTGGTCAGTCAAATACTCATAAAATAGGGCGACGGCTGATAAAGGTGGCACGAGTCGCGGGGCATCGTGTATAACGAAGCGACGCGGGCCGTGTCAATCTTATAAGGACGTAGTAGGTACCTGGATACCTCTATATATTGTATATAAATGTAGGTTTTATTTATACAAAAAAAAAGTTAAATTACCATTGATAATTATTTTTACTGGACATTAAAATAGATACAAATATTAAGAGAACAAAAATGTTATTTTTTACATATCTAGTAAGTATTATAACATATTTAGGTTTCTTGTTGATTGCAAGTTTTGCAAAATTATTTTGTTTATTGAGTGCTCATTGCAAATAGGCTTTGATCAAGTTGAACAAGCTTTTCGAGTTTTCAGTTGCTTATGATCCAATTACTAAGGAACTTCCAACTATTTGAATATATCCTGAAGCATCACGAGATGGTACATTTTTAGGAATTGCAATTATCTATTGTATTGCCCGTCCGAGAACCATTTCCATTGAATTACGAGTATATCGATTTTCTACTACTATAGGTAAGGAGGTTCGGATTTCTATTGCAGGCATACAAAACTGATATGCAAGCTCTTTCAATATTCTTCGGCGTCGATCAGTTTAGTTAAACCTTTGATTGTGTTCCATGTATATAATATATGCAGCAATATCAATCATGTTTAAAAAATTGCAAGTGGCCAACGATTAGTTCTTCGCTTCACTGTGTACTCTGTTAATATTTTATGCATTGTATCTACTCCTCCTTTTGTCTGATTATAATATTTTATAATTTCTGGTATAGCGGTAGCAGCTTGCTTTACGTCGGCTGTCATATGCATTGTAGATAAAAGAATAACCGATTATTTTATTTTTGGAACATAAGGACAAAGAGTTATATCTTTTCTAAATAAAAAATTTGTAGTATATAACGCACTGGCTTGTGATAGAAGCATGTTGGAAGACAAGAATCTTTTATTTTTAATATATAAATTAATTATCATAAATTATCACCTAATGTATTACTCCAACTAAAAATATGCTAAAATTATAGTTTTTATAAATAGGATTTAGGTGTTGCTATTAATGTAACTTTTGTAAGAAAAATTTACAGGTCTAGTGAACATACGTTTTAGTTTTTTTACAATCGTATCAAAAATGTTTTTCATATAGTGACGAAATTTCACAAATACCTTAAAAAATACATAAGCATCAATAATACAAATTTATTTTTCCCTATTTTGTTACCTTATTTAAATAATTAAAAATTTGAAATATAATAAAAATACTTTGTGTCAACCTACAATTTAATACCCATTGACTAGTATTATAAATAAATAAATTAATAATATATTTTCCATAGATGCTAAAAGTTAATTTTTTAGATCAAAATATAATGTGAATAACTTTCTAAAAACATGATTAGTAAAATGACATCATTATTATTTGTTCAACTCATGTTACAACACTACACTTACTCAAAAAAAAAAAATGGTAGCCTTAATCTCCTGTAGAATAATCAGTTTTGAAAATAATCATTTAAATACAAATTCAATAAGCATTTTTATAAAATTATAAAATAATAACTGATATTTTAGATATATCCTTGGGTTGGGGTCTTTAGTTAAACAAAATACGCTCAGTTTGATAAAAGTGACAAGGGGTCGCAGGGCACCGTGTATCACAAAGCGACGCGGGACCATGTCAGATTTTGACTCTGCTAAGATAACAATGTCATCCGCTAAGCGAACACAGTGTATATGTTAGCCATTTATTTTCACTCCTTTGGTCTTGGTTTTTATTATATCAATACTCATCTCAATGAAAATATTGAATTGATAGGGTGACAAAGGGCATCCTTGTCACACTCCTCTCTTTATTCTTACTTCCTTTACCGCTCCATCGATGCATATTTTTATTGTTTGATCCTTATATAAGTTGAAGATGAGCCGTCTATCTTTCCAATCAAATCCCTTTTCTCTTATTATTTTGAATAAGATTCTCGAATCCACTTTATCAAAAGCTTTCTCTAGATCTATGAATGTTGTTATTGTTTATCTGTGTGTTTATATAATATTTAATTGATTCTGTACAATAATCTTGCCTAAACTGCAATTTTGTTTTATGCCAATCAGGAGGTACCATTTTATTTTTCATTATCTTTTGGTTCAGACAGCCTTTTTTGTTGAAGTCTGTTTCACAGCAACCTTTAAAATTAGACATTTTTCTCTATTTGTGTTATATTTAAATATTTTATTTAATTATCATTAAACCAGGTATGTATAAATTTTGCATTAAATATTATAATAAATTATCCAGTGAAAATAAAAATATAATTGATTTCTATGAACAATTTTGTAAGGAGAGGCCTAAATAATGATACATTATTATTATTAACAACAGTGAAAGGTCATTTAGATTTATTTATTTTTATTTGAAAGAGTAAATTGTTTTATTTTTAAACGCACATATCAAAATATAGTATTTTTACTATTGTAATACTTTATAAGATGTGTTCAATAATGTTTAAGTATTCCAAATTTATTTTAAAATTAAAACTCAATGGATAGAAATCAAAAAAATGTTAACACTGTTATAATTTGAAATGAACTATTGTAAATAGTAATAATATTTTTAAAATTATGGATAGCTATTATTACAAGAAATATTGATTTTTGTGTATATAATAATTATTATCAATAATTTTGATTGTAGCAAAAAAACTTAACTTTTTAGTTAAAAATTTTATCAATTTTGAAAAATTATATATATTTTTAAATGACAGAAATAGAGATATTTTAATATAATTACTAAAAATATTAACATAATTTGTTAAAAATACTGAAAAGAATACTATTTTAGTTGCTATATCTAATTTGAATTTTGTGTTCATAAAATCATAATTGTTAAAACTTTTTTAATAATTATTTTTTATTTTAATTTCAAGTAATAATCTGAATAAAAAAAAAGAAACATTATTAATTTAATTCATCATAAAAAATATTTATTACACGCTTCTATATAATTAATTTTTACTAATTTTTCATATTTTGATACTTAAGCATAAAAAATTTATACGTATTCTCCGTAAGAAATTATAAAATTTTTAACATTAATATGCCAAAAAAAGTTTATTTATTTTTCTAAGAAAATAAACTAATTTATTTAAAACAAAATTCTTGTTTAGTTATAATGTTATGTAATGTTTTATAATCAAATTATAAAATAAACGATCATAAGATCAGTTTGAATTCTTTTTAATTATAATTAATAAAGCAACAATATGATCAGTTGTGTGTTTTAATTTTGATAAGTCTACCAAAGAAGTTTCAAGTTATTGATTTACCAATGGTTTTTGTCATTAACCAAAAAAAGAAGCTTGTAAACAGCTTATAAAAATAGAGTATTGCCAAACAATAAAGATTTTGATGTTTTAGAAGCAAGAGTTCTTAAAAAAAAATTGGTAATCTACTTAACATAAATTTTTTTCTTTAACTAATAAAACCTTAAGAAAATATAACTATTTTAGAATCCTTGTCAGCAGTTTCAATAAAAGTCAATATACCCGAGTAGCATTATTTTGGTTCACGGTCGGTTCAAGCGACCCACGAGTGCTGGGAGAGTTCTATGTTCAATAATGAACCGTGTAATTTTTTATAAGTTCCAGGAAAGTTCAGCGTTCAATAAATAACCGAACAATTTTTAGTAAGTGCTGGGACCGTTCAATGTTCAAAATAATTGTACGGATTCATCAAAGTTCTTTCATTATAATGAAAGAATCGTTGTAACGGTTATAGCCATTCAAATAGTTTTATTCACTTATATTGTTATTAAACATATTATCCCTTGATTAGTACATTAATAAAAAAAACTTTAAAATAATAGTTATAAATTATTTTCATTGAGACTATAGCGCAAATTTAACATACGAACTTTTGGCGGAATAACCAGACGTGTCAGTAACCGTTGACCAACAGCTTTAGTTCGCGCGATTTTTATTTGTTATTTAATTTTTACTGTGACATTTTTTCAAATTATCAACGATCGTTTTACTCTCTTTACAAATTATGTTTTGAGACATTCGCCATTTTCACAGCGACTAGATAACTTGTCAAGACTGCTCTTTATCCCTGTTCACTCTCACATATATATTTAACTGAAAAGTTCAATAAAATGTAAGTACATTTAATTTAAATTTAGGACTAAAATAATAAATAGTTATTTTAATTAATTTTAATAATAGCATATATTATTTTTTTAAAAGATAATCATACATTTTAGTAACTACATTTATTGTAATTGTAATAGATACAAGTGGTAAATTATATATTAAATTTTCACATTTTGTATTATGATTAATTATAATTATAATGCAAAATTATTTATTTTAATAAAGTACTATCGTTAGTTATGTTGTTATGAAGTTATTAACAGATACCTCAAGATTTTCCATGAGCTTAAAATGTTTTTAATCATATATCATTGTCGTTATCATCATATCCTAAGCCTTTATCCCAACTATTTGGGGTCAGCTCTAGCTTATTTTAGATCTTCTTATTTATTGATACATGTGATACAAATTACTTCTGTATTTTAATATTTAAAATGGTGCATTTTATATATTTCTCAAAATTGTATACATTGAAATACCATCTCTTAAAAAACTGTTGATTTTTAATGAAAATCCCTCTATTGTACTACTCAATAATTTAAATTTATCAAACATTTTAAGTTAAAAAGAATTGCATCTATTTGAATGAAAATTATATTTCAATAATTCAAATTTTAAATAAATGAAAAGTATAAAGGTTTTCACCGTTTAACAATTAACAGGGTTTTACATTAAACAAGATTTTCATCAGACTCATTTTTGTAATTATTTGTAACCTTTATACCATTAAATCAACAAGATTTTTATACAAATCAACCTATAAAAGGCACATTTTAATCTATGAGGAACAGGCTTACATGTAGCCTAAATAATTTTAAGATATAAATAAAACTATTCACAGTAGTTTCCCAAAACAGAAATCTATATACCTAAGTTGTCTAAAATACCCAATATCCAAAACACAATTATTTTATAACTTAAATAATAACCAAAATAAAATACTTCTTATGAAATATCATGTTAATTTTACTTCACTATATCAAATAGTTACAATAAATAAATGTTGATGGATATCATGCTTTTTTAATTTCCAATATTTAAAAAATATGTCTTTTTTATAAGTATAATAAATATTTTACAAAGCATAGCCATGTACTTGATCAAACATTTGAATACTGTAACACTAAAAGGTTAATTTCTGTATAGTTTATTAACTGAACTTTATGTGTTGGCGCTTAATTGTAAATTGATATAACTCAATAAACATTTTTGAACATTGAGTTCATATTAACCGGAAGTGCAATAACTAATAATAATTTATCATTTACACAAAAATATTTGAACTCCCTATATTCTTTCTTCTCCAGAAATCTGAATAAATATCTATTGACATTTATGAAATAACTTTAAAACTTTATACTCTATTGTATTAAAATATTTTTATTTAAAATAATAAAAAATAATAAATATAATATATTTACTATTATATAATAGTAAATTATAAAATTTTTTATACCCAAAGCATAGTTGTTAATTATTTTTATATAATTTATTAATTTTTTATAGGTATATTATTTTAAATAAAATTATTCTTTGGGAGCATGTTTTATTTAACTTGAAAGGTTGTTCTATTGAAGTATTCTTATCTTCCCTTCTTATTTATATCATTTGGGATACAATTACTAGAGCCTATATTAATACTGGTAAGATACCAACTATTTTAATAATGATTGATCTATAATTGTAACATTGTATATTCATAAAAATAATAATAATAATATTATTATTTTTATGAATATATATATATATATATAATTTAATTTATTATAATTGATGAGTTATTGTTTTTTTTTTCTTTCCAGAAAAATGTTTTGTTGCTTAAAGTGGGTACCATTAAAAGTTTCAGTGCATATACGAGAACAGCATTTGATTTTTGTATGACAAGAGAAATGGCCTCAAATTTTAGTTTTTGTGACAACACCAAATAGATGCTATGTCTGGCTAAATCATAATACCTGAACACGAAAGAACATTTAACAAAATAATAGCTAATATTTTAAAGCATTCTGGTAATAAAACATCACAGCAATAAAATCCTTTTTTTTTTTTATTATTCAATCAACATTTCATTTTTTTGTAAATGATTTTTAAAATTTATTCACTTAGATTATTTCACAGTTTTTTTATTAATAGTGAAAACAAAGTATAGCATTTAGGAAACAAAATAAAAACAGTAAAAAAAAAACATGGTAATCTTATGCCATCTTATTGAATGCTACTTATATGTTTTACTTCTTTTGTTGTACTTATGGCAATGATTTTCTTTTATTCAATTTCATGGAAATTAAATTAAAATTACTAATTGTTTTTATAACCACAGTAATATTTTTTGTTATATCAACTATTGCAATTTCACAATTTTCT